GAAGGGGCCCCTAAGCAACTGCAGTCTCTGCTTGCCGATATTTTCACCATTGCTCAGTCTAGTTTGCTATGAGACACCACACTAGGAGCTAAAGCACCCCAAATAACAGGCATAATTAAAACCTATCCCAAAAACTAGAGCAGAGACTCTTTGGACATCACATCAGACTGAGTTTGCCTAACCATAAAGCTTTTCTAAGCAGGTCCAAAATGTGGGAAGTAAAAATAAACAAGAATGGACAGTTTGGAGGGGGGCCCAAAGAGACTCTAGTCGGGGCCTTTTATTTTATTTTTTTTGTTCGGCCCTGGCTGGTACCCTAACCCGCTCCGTAATTTGGCCATAAATTCACAAAGGAACGAATCGTGTCACTAAGCAGCTCTGGATATATTGCAGAGTCAGGTGGAGGAAATCCACCCGTGCGTAACGCATCTCTCCATTCGATCAGAATGAGTAAAGCAGAGCTAAAATAATTATAAAAACAACTGAACCAGCAGGTAAAGATGTTACACAGAGCCTTAAATGATAGCACAAAATACCCCAACATTAGGCTGCACTTCTTCTGACCACATTACATGTCGGGACATCCCCGCTTCTTTCCTTAGGCGCATGGGGAATGTTTCCACATGCCAAAATAAATCCAACCAAACATCCGTTTCAACTGATTCTCTGCTCACACCAGAAGTCATCTCTCTCAGATATGCGATGTTCAGAGCAGCCAGCCTCATCGCCCTCTTGTCCCAGACAGAAACACCATCGTCCTACCTGGTTATCTCGAAGCTGCAACCCTTCCGAAGGAGCAGAGCTCTCTTCCGCATGATGCCTTTGTCTTTGCCGAGGTACGCATTTTTATCTGAATTCATGGGTGCTGGACAAGCAGGTAGATTAGAAGAAAAAGCAGCGCCTCGTTTCTGTAGAGTAGGCTATTAAAAAAAAATAAAATAAAAATGAGCAACTGAAGTGCAGGAGTCGAAGAGGGGAGACAGAGAGATAAACAGCCTGACCGAAAAATATCCCTCGACGCAAGGTTCACCTCCTCCTTATAGACACATAAATGAAGATCTGGATCCTAAAAGAGGAAAGGTGCATGTTTTCCGCCTGCCGGTACTTCCATAAGGTCTTATTAGAGGAGTCTAGAGACAGGCTGTTGCGGCTGTCACCCTGAGCGGACTGCGCAAGGAGCCGCTCCAGAGATCCTGAGCACTGTGGGGCTCTCTCTCTCACACACACACACACACTCCCTAAGCTTCAGTCCCACTGAGCTGCTGCTGGCCACTGACTGCATGAGCCCCAGGATAAAGGAGGAGAGATAGGGAAATAAACATTATCATGGGGGGGGGACACAGTCTGTGTGTGTGCGCGTTTTGGAGCGCGCTCTTGTGTGTGTTTTGGGGACACATTTAGGCGCGACAGGGACAGATTGTCTTAATATCAGGGGGCCATGGGACTGCTGCCTCACAAGAATCCCCAAACATCCATTTATACGAAAAAGACTATATTGAACCAGAGGCGTACCCAGAAAATTATCATAAGGTTGGCCCAGCAATAACCAATGTATACTGAGGGGTGGTGGATAGGCACCACCGTTCCACCAGGAACAAGCACAAGGTCCATATTCCTAAATAAAGACTATAGTCTATAGTTTCTAATCTATAGTTTCCTACAGCCTTTGCTAACAAATAGATGCATATATTTAAACATCTGTCTAGATAAAAGCTATATTGGATAAAATTCTTTGAGGTTTGTGTTCTGGAGCGACAACATATTCTCATTATCAGTGCGTGTGAAATCGTACGAAAAGTTATGCACACTATTTCGTACGTTTTGGACGTTTTTCCTCAAAAAACCACATCAGTGCGCAGAAAAAAAAAAGCAGATCCGCGGACGGACGTAAAACTGGGAAAAACAGTGCAATCATCACTTATTCATGTCCCTAACTACGTTGCTTGCTGTTTTATATCTTAGGGTTAGGGTCAGGGTTAGGGCTAATTGTAATTTATATTCTAGATTTGTAAATGGTGCGTCAGATGCGCATGCGCATACGACGAAAAAAACGTTCAAAACGTACAAAATTACGGTGCATAAAGTTTCATACGATTTCATACACACTCATAATGAGAATAGGTTGGGAGCGAACATCTTTTCCATCGTCATTACTTACCTACTTTTATCAATATCATTCTTCATTAAATTGATATTTACAAGTACTAATAACTACACAAATTGATCATTTAATAGTTTTTTATTAAAATAGTTATTCATAGTATCTATGATTTCACTGACGACTCTTAGATGACTTGCAGAGACACATAATTTTCTCTTTATGGCATATAACACAAAATGTAGTTCTGAAAGAGCAGGAATTCTGTACTAATCATCTCTAATGTTTGTATATTGATGTGCATAATTAGGCACAGTGTTTTTGTTAAGTAATTGTTAATATATTAAAAATTAAACTTTTTTGAATATTCTGTTTGAGAGAAAAAAATGGTAGGGGCGGCCAATGATTGGCTAAGGTTGCCATGGCCACCCCTAGCCCCCCATCTAGCTCCGCCCCTGGATTGAACCAAAATGTTCATTTCTAACCTTTAAGTACAATTATGGGGTAGTATAGAATGGACAAGTACACTATAAAAAAAATAAATATCTGATCCGTCAGTGGGGCCCCTGAGAACTTTATGTGCTTTATAACATTTGCAACCAATTGGGAAATGCAATCCACCACTGGCTGTTAAAGATAGAGGGGAAACCCTTTATAGGAAGCTTCACTGCACTAAATCTTATTTTCTTACTAATCTAAGAGGTGGCGATATATGTAGAGACTGTCATTTTTGTGAGAACCACCCCTGAATAAAAATGACAGTGATTATCCTTTTGGTTAGTTGGTGGGATATAAAAGCACTAAGTTAATATTTAATCATTGTTGTTGATTGGTTCAAAGCAAGAGAAAAGAAAGAAAAACCTGATAGAAGCCAAACTTTTGATGCAGCATTTCAGGGATAGAGAATCTTAAAAACTCTAGGTCCTGTCAAGTGTTTGTTCCATGTCGCAGAAAGCTGACCCCATGGACCTGTTCCCTTTATTTGCGCATTGAACAATTATTTCAATAAAGCTTGAAACCATTACAGTCCAGTAAGAATTTATAGCAACTCTGTTCCTGTAACATTTTACAAGGTTGGAGCAAACAGAGTAGGTTTTTTTAAACAGCAATTGAATCTTGAATCATTATTCCACACAAAAAAACTAACTCGAGAACATAAGCCAGAAGGTAAGCATTTGAACTGTTATATTAGAAGGTTTATTTTGCATTACACCCTACTTAGTTTAGATTTGGTTTGCCAAGATAAGCCCCTTGCATCATCTATCATCTTCCAACATAAAAAATAGGTGTTACCTGCTTTTTTGAATGTAAGTTTGCACAAGTAAAACAACACAACATTGGAGATGCACAAGCTTTAACTTCTGATAGTTTTGCATTATATTTACTTTAAAGCTGCACATTGCCTTTTAGCAAGAGGTTCCTGGGTTTGAAACTTTGCCTTTGGTCTTTTTGCAGTAAATTTGCATGTTACCTTGTGCCTGTGCAGGTTCTCCTTCACTGCTCTACCTTCCCCCCAGCATCCGTTAACAGGTCTTTAAGGTTAAATGAGCTCGTCAAATTGCTTTTAAGTCTGTGTAGGAGTGTGCAGCGTTTGGACTCTGTGATGCACTTGAGAGCTGTCTCATGTACCCCATCTCTCACTCAGTGACTGCTGAAGATAGACAGGCACTTATGATTCCCACAAGACTCCACACCTTTCAATAGTTGTATAAAAAATAACCAAGAGCTAACTGAATTAAATCAAAATTAATTATTTTTGCCTCATTATAATTTTGTGTACTTAGCTGAATGATATTGGTCTCTTGCGTATCAAACATGGACTGCGGGAAAAGGGAAATACTGGGTTGTGGAAGAAAAGCTCCTTTACCCCCAACAATTTGAACAAAATTTAACTTTTATCAATTTTTTAGGGAAGGGGCTGTCATCAGTGTTCATGTTAATTTATTAAATAGAAATGTATGTACAAAAAAAAAAAAAAAAAAAAAAAAAAAAAAAACAACAACAAAAAAACACTGTTTACATGTCTTTACACCAAGTTGCCAATAAGTGCAAAGGGAACTTTGCTTTGGGTTAAAATGTTAAACAAACAGCTACCACTTTCTAACTCAAGAACACAGTTAAAATATTCAAACTCTTGGAGCATACCTAATAAATCAAGGTGCATATTGTTTACATTTCCCACAGTAGAGTATGGTGTCCTGTCCAGGGTTATGATATTGTAAATGCTTGTCAGCAATTGTCAGCTGCAGTTCAAATCTAAAGAAGCAGCAAGCTCAGCAAAGCAGCACAACACAGACAGTGAAGCCCAGTGGAGAATGAAGTCTGTGCTAGATTTGCATAATAGCAAAGATGAGTTCTTTGCAAAAGGCGTCACTCTAAGAGAAATCCAAAACTTTCTGGATTTGGAGATGTGGGGAATTTTCTCACTATATGCAATACGGCTTTGGTTGGTTACAATAAAAAAATAAGAATAACCAAACAAATATCCTGCAGAAAGTATTGTTAACATGGCATCTCTTGTTAACACAGAATGACTTCAGTTCATTTTCTCACATTCAAAATATTTTTTTTTATATAGT